TTGAGTACAGAAAAAGAATTATAGTGACTTTGCTTTTGTTACTAACCGATGGTCTTCTTAAAACTTGTTTTCTGTCATTTTCTTTATAAATAACACTTTTGACACCCTGAAAGTGAAAGAGAAGAGCATTGCTTATATTACTGAGTAACTCTCAGGGCAGGCCCTGCAGTAGGCTCCACTGGATGCTTTGCTTAAGTACACCGTGTAGTTCTCTGAGCAGCCTTGGAGATTAGAATTCTTTATCCACACTATAAAATGAAGGACAGGAGAGGCACATGTTTAGTTGAGTTAATTAAGCATTCAGAGCTGAAAAATTAGGACTTGGACTCTTTTTTTTTTTTTTTTTTTTTTTTTTTTGTCTTTTTCATTTTTATCGGTACCGGGGATTGAACTCACGACCGCCTGCTTGCAAGGCAGGTGCTTATGCCGCTGAGCTAAATCCCCAGCCCCAGGACTTGGACTCTTAAATATTTGGTTATTTAGGCATAAAGGGCACACGCTGGAACTAAAGACCTGTTAGTGATTTTCCTATTTTAAACCAAGTTTTATAATTTGTGATCTTTACAGAGTTGTATGAGAATTAGCAGGATTTGGGATTCAGGCTCCACCCCACATCATCCTAAACTACCCTGTCTTTTCTTTTGCCTATCAGATTTCTATGTAACATTTTGAAAACTTCTAGACTTACGATTATAAAATTGATTCTAGCCCCAGTGTGGTGGTGCACAGCTATCATCATTGCACTCAGAAGGCTGAAGGCAGCCGAGGCTGGATCACGACAAGTTTGAGGCCGGCCTGAGCTACATAGTGAGGCCCTTTCTAAACAAATAAACAATTTTAGTTTTAAATTCTAGAGAACATTTAAAAGTAGGTTTTTCTCCAGAGATTTGATTCTGAATGTTTGGAGAGGAGCCCAGCTTACAACTTTTAATCTCATATGATTCTAATAGCCAGATTTGTAAACCAATTATCTACTCAAATGCCTTTGTTTTATACTTTAAAAAAATGAATTTACCCAGTCATTAATTACTTAGAACTAGTACCAAGCTCCCAATACATCTTTCTGTAGTACCTCATTAACTGTTGCTGCATGGTTGGTCCTCTGGCCTTTAACCTGCATTTATATTATTTTATATTGCTATATCTATTATATATATGCCTATGTAGAGTAACTTTTTTAAACATACACATAACAGTATTCCTGTTGTGTATTTGTAGTTTTCACTAGTGACTAGTATAGCTAGTATGATTTTTCTTTTTTCCTTGATTATTCATTTACTTTTTGTTATTTTTACCTTTCATATAACCAAAATATGTCTGAATACAGTTTTCTTAGAATGTAGCACAACTCTAAAGATGTGCACTCTAAAGTTGATGCTAGTTTTAAAAAGTACTATGTGCACATTGTACAATATGATTGCTTGTAGTTTTCAAATTGTTAAGGAATATAAAGAAATAATCTGTTGTATATTAAAGGAGAGTAGAGAGACTTGGAAATTCAGTGTAGTGTAGGAATCCTTCTGTGTTTCATCCTAATTGCAATGGTGTTATAAAAGCCAGGGCTTAACGAAGAATGGATTGATGCTGCTGTGTTGCAACACTGTTGCCGAAGATAGAACTTTCAAAGAATGAACTAATGCCTGTGTATAGAGGGCTTTGGGGGGCTGCTTTCTCACCCTTCTACCTGCCACCATCAAAGTCCTCACCATGGTCCAGGCCCTTGGTTTCCCAATGCCCAGCCTCTGAAACTGTGAGAAATAAGTTTGTTCTTTATGAATGACCCAGTCTCTAATGCCTATTAAAGCAGCACAAACAGACCAAGAGGATATTATACTGGATTCTAGATCAGAAAATCAAATTGAACATGGACTACCTAATAGTATTATATATTTTTTTATTTTGGAAACTATAATGTTGTTGTGTGAAATATATTAGAAAATATATACTATAAATCTGAAGTAATGTGAAAATCAGAGTTACCTGTCGCCCATGACATGAATGAAAGATTATAAAGAACTAGTTCACTTGGTTGCTACCTTAAATGTTTGCTTAACTTAAAGCTTCAAAGTAACTTTTAAAAACCTGAGTGGGGTAAGCTCAGTGGGAGGGGACTTGCCTGGCCTGCCCCTGGATTGCATCCCTTTACCAAAACCTAAATCCCTGAGTGAGAGAGATGTGAAGTAGCACTCTTCTCCTGAGTCACTTGCTTTGTAGTGACATGTTTCTCGTTGTGAGTATTATTGCCTAGATTCCCATTTTGAAACAGACATATTAACCAAAGGTATTATTCACCATAGTATTGTCGTTTACTTCATTTCTTTGTAGGAAAAAGGACTGTATGTTGATTATTACTACCTTTGTTAATCTACTTATTGCCAGATGATGCTACAGTCTGCTTTGTTGTTATTAATGGTAGCACAAATTAGAGTAAAGTATATGTACTTGGTTTATCTAGAGACAGTTTTTAATTGTTGTTTTAATAGCAAAAGCATCTACATAGCAGGGGTAGCCATCAGAAGCTATTCTCAGAACATTAATTTTGACAGTATTTTCTATGATCAATAAAGTTATCCAAGCTGTGAAAGCATTTATTGACTAACTACTGTATGTCAAGTACCATGCTAACCAATGGGGCCTCAGTGATGAATAAAAAAGAAACTTTAGATGATATTTTCCAGGGAAACTGTGGTCCCATTCTAAGAATCCCTGTGTTTCAATTATGTTGTTGAAAGAAATTAGAAAACAAAAAGATAAATGCAGGTGAAATATTGGGGCTAATGTCTACATTAACAAAATGTACTTCACATCTTAAGCTGTTCTATAAAGGGGCATAGTAGTACTCTTCCTTAGCTTTCTAAAATTTTATGTTGCAGATTAAAGGTGACAGCTTCCAAAGTAGAGAATCAGTGCTGCCAATCCAGGGCGCCCATTAGGACTGATCAAGTTTGTAACACATGAAGTTCTCTACTTCTGTTGTATAGCTCATAAATCCCACTCTCATTTGGTTGTAGTAGGTTTGGTCTTCTGCCCTGCCACACGTGTTGATTGTCTGCCATAAGGTGTTTATTCCCACTGTTAAATACTGCTTTAGGCACAGTATTTTGGACATTGAGTTGTGGCTTGTTTCTTCTGCTGTTTCAGAGGATCCAAAGGTGGCTCTGGCTTAAAATTAAATATTACACAGAAAGAACTTTTACACCATTGCGCTTTCGTTTTTTGACTCAGTACGAAGTAGGAGGAAGGTTCTGAGAATATTAAAGTAGTTCACAGAAATATATAATAAGAATTGGGAGAGAGCTATACCAGAAATGTTTTCAAATATTCTAAGAAAGATTTAATACAGCAAAGCCTTGTCAATTTAGAACTTAAAAAGAACAAATCATTCCAGATACCTGAGGGTTTATCCAGTCGAATACCAGCATTTCAAAAAATTCTTCCCAAAGTACTATTCTTGTACATTTTGCAGTATTTGTGTATAGCTTAATTTTTTTGTTCAAAGATCCATTCTAATGTAAAAACCAATCATTGTATTAATGTGTCATTCACAGTTGTTTGAAAAACTGTATATAGACATATCAAAGATTAGCAGAAAATACAGTGAAACTTTTTTTAGACTACTAGTCGCTTTATAAGGTAGTATCTTCCTCAAATTCTGTTAAACCATGACACAGTGATTTAGGAGCATGGTGATTGTCTTTAGAATTAGAAGCATACATGTTAGGTTTTTATTTTTTAAGATTGCATTTTACCAGCAGTGTAGTGTTTTTGTCCTGAATTGTGACATCTCAGGACTGTGCTACCTCTAATAGAAAGTCTAAGTATATTTTTAAAAAGATGGCCCCTGCATAGCCACTATATACCATCATCCCATTTTTGTCCAGACATTAGAGGATTCAGGATTAAAAAATAGTTTTGAATACAGTACAAAGACAAAAATAGTTGTTTTCTTCATAGAGCTGCATAAATTCTATGTTGTATTACTTACTGTCTTCTGTCTCAGGAAGTTGAGAGATGTCCTTACCACAAGTTATGTTACAAGAGTAAGGAAAAGCATTTATTTGTTTGTTTGTTTGTTTGTTTATGGATGCAGGGTCTCACTGTGTACCCCAGGCTGGCTTCAGATTTGCAGCTATCCTCCTGCCTCAGCCTCCGTAGTGCCAAGATTACAGGGCATGTGCCCTTACACCTGGCGGGAAAAGGGTCTTGGTGGTTCTTTTTCTTTTCATTAAAGGAATTTTGTTTAATTTTACTTTCTTATTGAGACTAAATTTTTTTGTTTTATTTTAAAGTTGTCATTAGGTCATACTAAACTCATGGAAAATATACACCTAGTCTTCAGTTTGGAATAAAATTTAAATTTAAAAGAAAAGTAGGTTGCAGTATCCTTTTAATTAGTGAATGAGTGATAAAAATAAATCAGGTTTCATGACTCTTTAAGATAGAAATCCCTGAGTCAGACTGTTAGTTTCTTCTGATTAAAATTTAAACTGGCGTTTTAATATCTTTAACACTTTTTGAGTTATATTTGGACACTTCTGAAAATCAATGAAAGCTGCCATTTGTTTTACTGAACATCTCAAATACTCTTCTGCTTGTGATGATTTCTAGTTACATTTTGAAAATATAAATGGGCCTACTGCATGTACACACACTTTTAATAGGCATACGGTACCCTTCTAACTAACATGATTTTGGTCAGTGGGTACAGTGGGCTGTTTTCTCCACTATAGTTTCACTAACGTCAGTCCTCGGTAAGCACAGTAATTAAGAAAGAATGAATACTTTCACATATAGCAACAGAATTTTTATCAGAATGGATTGTAACCCTCAGGTTTCTGTTTTGGGTGATACATTGTGACATTCAAACTTTCTCCATGTCTGCGTTTTCTGTTCAGGGGACAAAACAGGTTAGTTCACTAAGGACTCTAAAAAAGCAACTGATTTTTTAAAAAGCAGTTTTGATTCCTATTGATTATTGTTGCATTTCTTTCTTGGAATAGATGGGGAAAAAAAGAATCAAGTAATGATTCATGGAATTGAGCCAATGTTGGAAACACCTCTTCAGTGGCTGAGTGAACATCTGAGCTACCCAGATAATTTTCTTCACATCAGTGTCATCCCCCAACCAACAGATTGAAGGACCAACTCTTGGTCTGGATAAAATCACCCTGAAACATGATTTACCAGAGCATGTCAGCCTTTTCTTCAGTCAGGTTTGGTGGGAGCAGCCTGACCAGAGACACTTTACTGCTACAAGCCGAGCAGGAACGAGAGTCCATGTCAGATAAAGCCATCGGGCTGGTCTCTCTGTGTGTCACCACTGCTCTCCGCCACTGCCTCATTAAACCTCAGCCACGGCGGGAAAGACTCAACAGGACCCCTGCAGGCCTTCTGTTTTCTTGTAAAATATAATGAAGCTGAAACCTTTGCCTAAGAAGAAAAAGGAAATGTGTGCCACTCAGTTTGTATTTCTGTTTAACAAATAAACAGGGGTATTTCCTAAGGTGACCATGGTTGAACTTTAGCTCAAGAGAGTGGAAACATTGGTTTAATTTTCAAGAGAATTAGACTTAAGAAAGTAAAAGAGAAATTCTGTTATCAATAACTTGCAGTAATTTTTTGTAAAAGATCAAGTTACAGTAAACCCATCTTTCCTAAATGAAAATTTCCTATGTTTACAGTCTGTCTATTGGTATGCAAACAATCTTGTAACTTTGATAATGAACAGTACGACATTTTTAAATAAAGCCTCTAAATAATGTTTTGTCATTTAATAGCATACAGTTTTGTCACTTTTCAAATACTTTCTGACTCTATGCAGTAAATCACTTTTTATTCTGTTACCGTTTATCATTAGCATGCGGTGGATACAGGAGACAGGAAAACATCTCAGGAGCTGTCCTAGAATTCATTGCTGCCAATTTTAAAATCTGTGTTCTCTACACCCTAAAGATAGTGTTAACTGTTTATCTTTGTTGTTTTGTTGATCACTGTAAGCCTGTCAAACCATATTATGGTAAGCATCTATATAATTTTGCGTTTTTAAAAATCCATTTCTTTTCAACCTAGTTTTCCTTTGGCTCCAGGACCTATTTTTCACTGTGGTCCCCTGGCAGCTACTTTGTGAAGTCTACTTATATCCCTACCACAGTAGCTTTTCCTTAACTTTACCAAAAATATCCAGAAAGTGCTGGAGTTCTTACTCATTATAAGGAAAAAGGTTTGCCGCACTTGTAACAGGCTACTGGGATGTTACCAGTTGTATTTGTGCACTACAGTTGATTTCTTGTGAGCTAGCTTACTGTTCATGTTGAATGTCAACTCATTTGAAAATGCTAAGTAAGTTATAGTATCATACAAAATTGTGTTAGATTCCACAATAAAAATGAATGTTTTCTTATAAAAAATTTACATGAACATTCAAGTGAAATCCTGCTAGTGTTCATTGCTTCCTTCCCTTTTTTCTTTTTGTGATTTTCCCTGATTGGTAACAGATTTATTCACAGAGAGATAAAGGCCAAAGTTACATTCTGAAATGGAAATTTAAAGGTACAGTCATAACGGGAAGTAGGATATCAATTACAAAAATAGAAGTAAACAGGAAAAAACTGGCCAATGTAAATAAAATGCCATTTTGGTAAAGGCAGGAAGTAAAGAAGCAGTGTTTGAGTTACATAAGGAGGAAAGTCCAGTGCCTTGTATTTTTCAAAACAGATTGGTCTGAATATGATTGTTCATATTAAAAGTGTTTATTCATCTATTCAGTTTGGGGATTTTCCCCCTTGATGTTTTGACAGACTGAAGTGAGCTTCAACGAGCGAGAGGATCACAATGCCAGGGAGTGCTGAGCGGTGACGGAGTGGGGTGCGGACCGTAAACCAAAGTAGTCTCCCCGAGAGGTCAGAGGAGGGACCTGCAGGGGACTAGATGAACTGCTGACCTTTACTTCCAGATCTGAAAGAAAATGTTATCAAGCCATTGTGCTTTGCTTTTCTTAAACTTGTTCTCTATGATACCAGCATCCTAACATTTTTACCCTTCTGTAATCTCAGGTCAGTCAGACTTCAGTGTCCCAGAGGAAGAATAAAACCAGAAATTCGGACTGGCTTAAATATTTTTTCTTTTATTTGAACATTTAAATTTTATGGTTTATATTAAGAATTTAAGAAATTAGTAATATATGAAGAGGAAAAATTAGTGAATAACAGCATTTTAATTGGTTTTATATTTTTCTGTTAAAATTAGCTATAAAAATAGGAAGGAGCTTGTCATTTAGAAATCAGTATACAAAGTTCAGTTGTCAGGCTGGCATCATGGAGGGAGATGTGCTTACTCAAATCAAGTACTTTCAGTAGGAACCACTGTGGACCAGCGCCTTGCGTCAGTCCACATTCATTTTAAATGTAGTATAGACCACAGCATGTATCTCCTGTTCCAACATCACTGTAATTTAAGCAGCCCCTCAAGTTGAAGTTGTTCTCCCTAAGCATCTAGAGTTATTTGTTTATTCTGACCTTTTCAAAAACAAATGGTTTGGGTCTTGCTTTGTACTTCTAAACCTTCTGAAAACGAGAGCTGTTTCATCCAGTGTTTCCTACTATAGGATCTCCCCTCACCCCTGGATCATGGCATCCTAGCAAGCTTGTGAAATACTCCATTGTTATTAGGCCTAGTGATTTACAATTTATAGCATAAATCTTAGTCCTCCGTTTCTAACACTGTTAGCTATTTGAAAGAAACTGAAGTTTTTAACTCATTTCTAAACAAAACATGTCTTCACCCAGATGTGTCCTGTTTTGTCAGTGTGACTACTGAAGGTCGTTTGCCAAGTATATGGTGAGAATCTGACACTAATGAATTGAAGGAAAAAACCCGTTGGAGTCCTAAGGTTGGGAATGTGAGTAATGGCTTTCAGGGAGTCACTCAAGGTAGCTGAGAGCCACAGATCGAAATGTGGTGTCCTGAAAATTTCATCACCAAGAGCTCCTAGTGGAGCACAACTAAGGTCAAACAGAGGGGCCAGCTTCACAGGTGGGTGGCTTTCTGTGACACTGGCACGTGAAATACGGATTTCTGATCTCCACCTAGGTCCTGAGCTGGTTTTGAGACGCGAGGACTGCCTTTTTATGGTGTTCAGTGCATGTTTTCTAAGTACGTTGCTGAAAGCTTTTGTCTGTAGTTTGGGTTTTTATGTTATTCTTGCTTGATTGTAGAGTTTTATGTTTCTTTAACAGGTAACTCATTGATTTAGAAACAATACCGGACTCCTATGATTTGGTGCGAGCTGAGGGAAAATTTTCATCCTATCAGCCTTTTTTGGATAAACCATCTTAAGCATATCTCCTTTAAAATCATTCTCAAGGGGCTGGGGATTTAGCTCAGCTGCATAAGCGCCTGCCTTGCAAGCAGGCAGTCGTGAGTTCGATCCCTGGTACCGATAAAAAGCAAAAAGACCAAAAAAAAAAAAAAAAAAAAAAATCATTCTCAGGACCTAGATTTCTATAGCTTCTGTCATTGTTTTGAAATTCATTATCATATAACATGAAAATAGCAACCTTGACGCTGGTATTCAAGTACAAGCATACATAAGGATTGGTGGTCTGCATGTATCATGCCAGGTGCTGGAGCAGACTTCAAAGCTGAGGGAGAAAATCATCTTAGGGTAAAAGTCAAGTAATTTTTGGACTGGAAAATACATAATATTAAAGGAAAAAATTGTATGTGTGTGTGTAACTCTATGTATGCCAGATTGCTGTGACTAAGGAGTAGTCCAGCTTAGGTGAATGGTGAATGTCTTCCAGTACAGGCTGAGCCTAACTCACACATTAGTTTCATTTTCATTTTTTTTATTTAAAGAAAAACAGAAAAAGGGTAGAAATAATAATTTCAAAAAATAAACAGTAAGAAATCATTAGTTGATAATTACACATTGTCCTCTTAGAAATAGTTGTTCAAAGGGGCTGGGGATTTAGCTCAGCGGCATAAGCGCCTGCCTTGAAAGCAGGCAGTCGTGAGTTCGATCCCCGGTACCGATGAAAAGGAAAAAGATAAAAAAAATAAAAAAAGAAAAAAAAATAAAAAAGAAATAGTTGTTCAAGTTACAAAATTAAAGCATACAAAGTGGACATTCAAACATCAAGACTGCAAATAGTACTTTTATCCAACAAAAACTACTTAGTAATTAATCCTATACGCTTAAACATACTTGCAGTTACATCATTTAGAGCACTTTCTTTTCCTCTCTTTTTTACAATAGCAATACACATTTTGGATTTTATCACTCCTGCATTTCTTACTACTTTTTACACTAGAGACTCATTGTGATATTTCTAAATATGATTCTTATTTATTTCACTAATGAGCATAGTCTCAAGTTGTCTCCATTTACCTATGAAGGCCTCAAGATTATCCTTTTTATAGCTGAGTAATATTCCATTGTATAAAAATATGAGATCTTTTTCATCTACTCTGTGGTTGATGAGTGTCTAGGTTGTTTCCAAGATTTAGCTGTTACAAATTGTGCTACTATGAACATGGGTGCACATTTATCAGTGTGATGTGACCTTTTCAATTTTTCTGGGAAAATATCCAGGAGGGGAAGAGCTGGATTGAATGGAACTTCAATCCTAGTCTTCTGAGAAATCTCCAACCTGATTTCCTTAGAGGTTGCACCAATCTACACTCCCACCAACAGTGGAGCAGTGTTCCTTTTTCCCCACAGCCTTGCCAACATTTGTTATCAGTTGATTTCTTGATGGTAGCCATTCTTTCTTGAGACACATTAGTTTTAAAGAACATTTAGAACATTAAAGAACATTTTGGTAAGACCAGCCGTAACTATTGATAAATACATTAGACACATTCTCCTACATTTTATAAAATTCTGATACATGTATTGAACATAAAGGGTAGTTGATGTTCCGATCTGAAGTTTAAGATATCTCTATAAGAGGAGAAAAGACAAAAATGACTGCACAGCATCATGCTGGGAAATTGTCATGAGAAAGGCATATGAGAAAACTGACCCGAGAGGACTACTTGCTTGAAGCTGATTGGGAGGCCCCTTAGCACAGCCCTCCCGTTGGACAGTTGGACACGTCGTTTCATTCTTGAAATACGTTCTACATTGGACAGCACACCTTAGTTTTCCTCTTATCTGTGCCCCTTTCTCAGTTTCCTTTCATTGTTCTTGATTCCTAAATACTGAAATGTCTGGATTAGCTACATGTAATACCTGAGTTTGTCCTATTTTGAGGCCACGCTTGCAGTACCTCTACTACTAACCTTTCCTTGGAACTCCAAACTTCATATTTAACCACCTACTTGACATCCTGTCAGATGTGTAATATTTAAATTTGGTGGGGATCCAACTTACCTTGAATACTTACCTTGTTCCTCTTGTTTTTCCTATCTTAAATGCTACATAGTTCCCCAGTCCTAAAACCTAAGAGCCCACTTTTGTCCCTCACTTCCCTTTTCACCCATAACTATATTTGTCATGAAGTCTGGTGAATCTGTAGATGCACTCAGCATGTATCTGCTTATCATCTTCATTGCTACCGTGTAAATCTAATCAATCATTTTTCAAACTGGACTAGTACTGTAGCCTTGAATATGGCTTCCCTTCTCCCATTCTTGCTCCTTGTTCAGTCTTTGTGTTGCATTGTGTTTTATTTTTTTTGTTGTTGTTGTTGTTGTTACATAGTGCTGCGGATCCAACACAGGGCCTCATGCATGCTAGGTAAGAGCTGTATCACTGAGCTACATCTCTTAAATATAAACGATACAAGGGAAATTCCTTGATCTAAACCTGCCATTGTCTTTCCATCTCAGCCAAAATGGATATGAACTTGAGTACTGCTTCGTCTGGTCCTCATGACTGATACCTCTTTCTAGCACAGCTACACTTTTTTTCAACTTTTTTTATTGGTTGTATAGATTAATGGGTTTATCTTGGCAGGTTTGTGCATGCACATAGCATCATTGTCACACACCGCATTCTACATGCAGGGGGCTCAATGCATATATTTTGCTCATATGCATCTCCCTAGTATTCTTTCATACATCCTCATTCTCTTTCTGTTGTCTAATTGTCTTGATTTTTCTTCTTTTGTCACTTTTACATTACACATATTGAGGAAAACATGTAATATTTGTCTTTCAAAGTCTGGCCTATTTTATCCAATATGATGGTCTCCATTTCTACTTCCCATTTGTTCTTTATGGCTAAAATATATATCTATATATCTCCATAGCTTTCCCATTTCTTTATCCATTCATATGTTGCACCATATTTTGGCTGTTGTGAATGGTGTGATATTTCTAGATCAAATAGTAACTCTTATTCTAAGTTTTTTGAGGAACCTCTGCAGCTGTACTAATTTACATTCTCACCAGAATTTACTGT